TTATATTGCAAAAAACATTTAAAAAAGTAACGAATGATTATTAGAAAAATGCTTTTTTGATAGTTGATGAGTAAAAATTAGACCAACAGTTGCTTATTCAGGTGGAGTTTTAAATGGGATGGTAAAAAATGATTAAGAGTCTGAAGCAACTTCTATGCTAAATGTAATGATGAAAAAATTACCTGGTGGACCTAATTTGTCACAAACTAACATAAATGTATCAATTCAGTGTTGTGAAAGAAGCTGTTGTTTTAGCTGAAAAAAATAGTGCCATTATTTTAGGATCTGTAACAGATAATTATATAATCAATCAGCACTACTGCAAAATCTTCAAAATAGTTACTGACTGTAAGGCCATTCATCCATTAGATGATCAGCGTGTTTGGTTTTTTTTGTTTGATACAGCTCATCTTTTTAAATGTTTGCGTAACAACTGGATTTCCGAAAAGTGTCAAAAGTTATCTCTTGACAATAAAACCATTGGTTCTTTTTCTGATGTCAAAAACCTATATCATTATGAAAAAGAGAATAATTTGAAATCAGTTCCTATATCATGCTGTTGTTTCTCCTTCTAGACTTCAACTACAGAATGTGCAACACGTTTTAAAAACATTTAACAAGAAAGTAGTAGCTGCTTTGAAACTAAAAGGAGCTTATGAAACATCCTTATTTGTTCAGCAGGTTTTAGATTGGTGAAATATTGTTAATGTTTCTGCAAAAAGCAGAATATTAGACTAAGAGATCACAACGAATTTGTGCAAAATAAAAATTCGAATAATCTTCAAATATTTTTAGAACTATGTAAATCTATGAAATCAAGGCATGGACCCAAACGACTTCAATGTGTTACCCATGATACTGATAAAAGCCCTTGTATAAATCACTGAAGGATTAATAGCTGTCTGCAAGCATTTGTTTTCAGTCAGTTTTGATTGCTTCTTACTTTGTGAGTTACAAAGTGACAGAATTGAAGGAGAACTTTCTGTTTACTGGGAATCAACAGGGGCAAATGCTTTTATGGCAGCTGGGGATGTTTTTAGTGCTTTTAAAAAGCAATTAACTCATTTGCTGCAGCATTTCTAGAATTAGTGGAAGTAGAACAACCTAATAAAAAAGATTACACATGTGAAGGTCCAATCAGTTTTGAAGAAGTGACTTCAATTGAAACTTGCATTTATGATGTGAGTCTTTCAGAAACTGAAGAGAGCTCTGCTGCCTATGTGGCAGGATAGCTGGAGAAAAAATGTGAGGGTGAACTTGTTTATGCTGAGGATGAACCTATACTAACAAATGAACCTAAAGACTTTATTGAAGAGGTTTCACAAAGATATTTGGCAGTTCCTCATGAGTGTACATATCGGCTAGTTAGAATTTGGTTATGCTTTGTGAATAAAATGTTTATATATTAGGACTATATATATATATATATATATATATATATATATATATATATATATATATATATATATATATATATATATATATATATATATATATATATATATACTTATATATATATATATACATATATATATATATATATATATATATATATATATATATATATATATATATATATATACATATATATATATAGATATATATATATATACATATATATATATATATATATATATATATATATATATATATATATATGTATATATATATATGTATATATATATATATATATATATATATATATATATATATATATATATATATATTTATATATAACTCTTAATTCTATTCATGGTGAATTCCTTAGACAAGTAAATTTGTATTTACTTGATGAAGCTTCTATGATTCCTAAACATGCTTTGAGTGCCATTTATAAGTTATTACAAGATATTTCTCAATGGCTTCTAAAGCTCGGAAGTGGAACTTTACCTGTCAAGCCTGGAGATCTTTTGCGAGGGTGTATTGTAATATTTGAGCAGTGCTTTGTAAACGATAACAAATCAATTTTGGAAAAGATTTGACAAATCAATTTTGGAAAAGATGGAAAAGAGGAAGCTGATTATGGTAACCGAGCTATTTTAACACCAACGAATGTTGATTCAATGGCAATAAATGAAGAAGTCCTTGATTGTTTATCTGGTGATACTAAAGTTTACTTAAGTTTAGATAGCATTGAAACTGATGATCATAATGAAATTTATAATTTTCCAGTCTAGTTATTTGACTCCATCAGGTATGCCTGTTCATTGCCTAAAATTGAAAATTGGTACTGTTGTAATGCTACGTAGAAATTTAGATCTAAAAAGGCGGACATTGTAATGGAACACGTTTTATGGTACGTGCACTGCACAACAACTATATTGATAGGGAGGTTCTAACAGGGGTAGCAGCTGGTAACAGGATCTTTGTTCCTCGAGTTCAATTAGCTCCATTGGATTCAAATTTACCCCTTTATACTCAAACGTCGTGAGTTTTCAGTTAGGTTTGCATACTCAATGACCATAAACAAAAGTCAAGGTCAAACTTTTGATAAAGTTGGTGTTTATCTTAAAAAACCTTGCTTTTCATACAGCCAATTAAATGTAGCATGTTCAAGAACAAATCGTTTAATAGCTTTAAAGTTGATAAACATTCATTTTAAGGTTTGTCAATAAACAAATTTTACACACAAAATGTTGTATTTACAAATTTACTCAATTGATAAACTCTTACTTTTATTTTACTTCTAGAGACACTACATTTGAACAAATAATAACACAGCCAATCTTATGTTTGACTAACTGTTTTTGTTGTTGCTATGCCAGAAACCAGTCTTTGATACTGGTGTGTGTATATATGTGTATATATATATATATATATATATATATATATATATATATATATATATATATATATATATATATATATATATATATATATATATATATATATATATATATGTATATATGTGTATATATATATATATATATATATATATATATATATATATACATATATATAAAATTTATATATATATATAAATTTTTTTTAAATTATATTTAGTTATCGTTACTATTATTACTGTCCTCACTAAAGGTAAAGTTATTATTATTTATTACTGTTGCAAATGATAATATACATCTATTAGATGTTTACTATTATTTGAAATAGTAGATCTAATTGATGTTCTAATAAACTTATATAAAAATTGTGAGTTATATATAACTTATGTTTAAACGTATCATTATCATAAGTTATATTTTTTTATTATTTTCATACAAGCATTTATGATTTTTATTAAACTAATAATTGTTATTCCTAACTTTGCATTAACATTACAAATTTAAATATTTGAGTATTTAATTAAAACAAGTAATTAATTGAAACAAAAAATATTTACAATTTCTTACCAGATGACTATACTGATAGTGGTAAAATTTTTAAACAACAAAAGCCTTATTTTCTTTATATATTGTAAGTATATTATTATATGGGTAAAATAATCCGTCATGTCAACCTATGTTTAAGATTTTGTAAATTTTTTATTAATTTATAGGGTTTATGAAAATTAAAAAAATCTGAAATTTGGAACCTCCAACTCCTTACGGTTCTCGAGATATTCAGGTTTCAATTTTTATATTTATGCTGACTCAGCATTTTTTGCAATATGCATCTTTGTCATTAAATAGCAGTATTTTAAGGACGAAATGAGGTATCATTCTGAAATTTGGTACAGAGACAATATTCAATGTGGCGGATACAATTTTTTTAAACCACCTTATGTACATGCAAATTAAATAATAATGACATTTATTTTAGGGTATTTTGATGGTCAAAATGGTGATGTCACCTTGGTCATTTTTTTTAGGCATTACTAAAACTTACAATTTAGGTATCAAACACTATTAATTAAAAATATATTATTGGATTTTTTGACTTTTCTAAATACAGCCTTTTAAAGTAGGTTAGCAGACGATCCCATGGCTCAAAAGGAGGTGAATAATTTCGTTTGCCGTAGAGTTTTTCCCATTGCTCAGAAGTAGGTAGGTTTTTTCGGAAGCCGTTGAGTTTATACATAAAAGTAAACAAAAATTGACACGAGGTTAAAGTAAATATTAGTATGGATCTATTTTCAGTTTTTTATGACGACAATTTAAGCCTGAACAGTTCTGAAGAAAGCACTGAGGAAAGTGGAATTCTACAAGGTTATTTATTCTGTTTGGATTAATTTGTTAAAAGTTGCGTCAAGATTGTAATTAGTGATTTAAATCCGTCACAATACTATAATTTGTAAGGAATTTAAATACCTCAATTCAAAGATTATAATACATCGCAGCAAGTTTATTCAATCAAAAATAACTAAAATAAAAATATTCAAGTTTGAAAAGAAAAATTTGAATACAACTCTAGATTAGAATTAAATTTTTACTTTAGAAATTGTTGAAGAGGATGGGAAAATCACAGATATTGACTTTTTGCCAGTAAATTGCATTGATAATGGTTTGTTTCTAATTTACTAAATAAGTATAAGAAAATTAGGATTTTGTTTAATTTTTTAATCTTTTAAAGTGTTTATTATAAAAACAAAATTTTATTAAGGTTTACCTTTTTTTTTTTCAAGAATATGTTATACTGTTGTCATTGTGATTTCAAAACTGTTGTTAAATCTATTTGTAAACATTTGTTATAGGAGACAAAACCAAACTTGTTTATCATTGTAAATCACACGAAGAAGCATTGCATTGTATCAAAAAATATGAATTAAGAACAACAACACAATTTGTGGTGTATTATGCTAATAAAAATTTTGGTAACACAGGTTAGCTGATTGCCAAGTGTTCTTACTTTTTGAATTCTTTGCAGGATTTTCAAATAATTTTTTGCATTAAGTTACTAACTCAATATTTTTTATTTTAGATTCTGCTATTCCTTATTCAGGAATACCTTATATTGTTATTTCAAATAAAGTTTTAGATTGTCACCATGGGTTTGACAGAAATGTTTCAAAAAAAAAAATGATTACAAAAAAAATAAAAAAAGACACGATGTAACTAAAAATATCTTTAATTTTTGCTACAACTTTATTCTTGAGTTTTGATTTATATCATTCTTTTATTCTTAACACTTTAAAATATAATTTTATAAGTAAAATCTCTGGATTTAAAATTTAATTGTAGATGGATGATCATTGCTTTCAAAAAAACTATTTAATTTTACAAGATAGTAAAAAGTTTATGTATCCTGCCAAAATAGCTATGAAGGAAATAATTCACTTTCCTGATTTTAAGGTATAAATATTTTATCAAAAATAATTTTTCAAAGGTTAAAGAAGTAAAGTATAAATTTTCAAACAGTTGTTAAACATAGTTTCATTTATACATTTAGATATCAGAAAAAACTGAGTGGCGCAAAAAAAACGCATCAAAACTTTTGAGACAAAAAATAAAAACTTCACCATTAAATGAAATCCAACATACAAGAACAATTGTAGTTTCCATTGATGATTTGTCCTGTCATGATAAACATCCTGTTGGACAGGTTAATATTGATATACAGTTGCAAAAAATTAATAAATTAAATTATGAAAAAAGAATTGTATCTGTTTTATGGTTTTATATTTTATTGTAAAATTTATTTAGGCTGACTTGATTTCTCAAATGATTGATCCTCAAATTTCTAAAAAAATAGAAGAATATGTTAAAGAAGGAATATGCAACATTAGAGAAATGAAACGTCTTCTTCGACTATTTGTTAAGGATATATTTGAAAAAGAAAATCTTCCTCCTCCAAATAATAGAAGATTTTATCCATGTGTTAATACTATAAGATCACATATAGTTAAAATGAAGCAAAAGTTGAGGTAAATTTTATATTATTTTAACTTGATGTAACCAAGAAACCATTAGCATTGCTAAAAATCCCTGTTGCAGTCAGTATTCCTTCAACTGCCTCCTTTATAAGAACAACAATGTATAATCTACCAGATTGTATGTATATCCACAAGTTCGTGTTTGCTTGTCCTCCACCTGCATATTGGTAAATTTTCAGCTTTCATAATTCATGTTTCACTACCAAATATCATAACAAACTTTACCACATCTTCCATGATACTGGATATTTTGTTGCTAAGTTAAAACAGAGTTAACAAAAGTAGATCAAAATAATGTCTTAATACTTACACTTATGTTTTATATATATAGTTTAGTGCTAATTTGTTATACTTTAATTTTAAAGATATTCCATGATTGATCAAGAATGTCTTTTGAAAAAGTGTCATGAATGGAAAATAATTGATCCACATATTAAAGTGTTAATTCGACCAAAATGTGAAGTTACAGACAATGAAATTTGTAAAAACAATTCTACATTTTTATTTGTTTATCAATCACAGTGGCAACAAGACCTTCTTTTGCGATACGGAAATGAGATCATTTTTCTTGATGCTACTTACAGAACTACAAGATATGCTCTTCCATTATTCTTTTTAACAGTAAAGACTAACATAGATTCCCAAATAGTAGCCACTTTTGTCACTGAAAATGAAACAAAAAAAGCTATTACTGAAGCACTAAATGTTATAAAGAGTTGGAATGCATCGTTTCAGCCTTCGTTTTGTATGACAGATTATTGCAACGAAGAAATCGAGTCATTAGAAACTGTTTTTCCAGGTGAATGATAACTGCATTTTCAAAACCATCTTTTATTTTAAATACTAATATAATTAATATAATTTAAAAACAGATTTTTAAAATTGGTTAGTGTGTCCCTTAGATTTGCAATGCTTCATATAAAGTATATACATATAAAACATAAACGTTACTATATTTAAAATTTTTTAAAAATATATTAAAAAAAATAGTTTAGAGTTTCCTAATTTATCTATTCCTAAAGGTTGTCGTGTCATTATATGCGATTTCCACAGAGAGCAGGCCTGGGATCGATGGCTTTCCAAATTAACAAATGGGTGTTCTGATTATAAAGGTAACATAATATCGATGTTACGACGTGTTGCAAGAGCGCAAAATCAGGATGAGGAAGATGCAGCTATTGAGAAGCTCCAGTCCTCCAATTTTTGGTTCGATGACAAGTTTCATAAATTTAAGAAGTACATAACAAATTATTGGTTGTGCAACAAAGAAGTAAGTTTTTTTTTTCCTACATAGTTACCATAATTTCCTAATTGTTATAATAGATATAAAACAGTTGCATCAACTTTTAAGAAATTTATTGAAAACATTTAAAAAAATTTTAAAGCTTCATACGGTAGTACTCTTTATCTTTTCCTTATAAAACTAAGTTTTACAGAAAGCGTTTACAAAATTAGGAATAAAGTTTAGAAGAGTGTATAACCTTTTTTAATTTTAACATTAATGTAGCTCTGTTTGCTCAGGGTTGAAGTTGATATAAATATTTTATAAATGAGAAACTTTTTTCTTTTTTTTTCTAATTAAGAAATGGATATAGGCCTATCGTCAGGATCGTTTATTAGTTAATCTAAATACCAACAATGGTCTTGAAAGACAAAATGAATCTTTTAAGTATTCTTATCTTCAACGCCACAAAAACTCATCTCTTACTGGAATGCTAACCTTATTAATTGAAGAGTTTTTTGCTGATAAATTTGAACAGTAAGTATATACTTTTCTAATACTCTGTATATTAACCCAAACATTTTTTTTTATCATTCTCTTTAATACGAGCACAACATGTCACGGAGGTTTGGGATCCCTTTAATGTAAAAATGTGCACTTGTAATTTTTAAAAAAAGAGGAAAAAAAGGAATAATGAAAGAAAAGATTGCTGCCCCATAAAGCCCTCACAACTTCCTGTTTTTGTATGACATCATCCATGTGCGTCTAATGCTGCATTTATTTATGTATGTATATATATATATTTATATATATTAGGGCCCCGCGATTCACCTTTTATGGTATCGAATCGAATCACGAATCGAAGCAGGTATCGATTTGCAAATCGAATCGAATCTCAAATCAAGTCAGCACTTTAAGGATACCTATGTTTTAGTTAAACTTAGATATATATATATATATATATATATATATATATATATATATATATATATATATATATATATATACATATATACAGTGTGCCAAAAAAAAAAAATGCAGCAAACAATTTCTCTTCAAATTTTTAATTTTTGGATCACATTGTAATATAAAAAAACATAACAGGATAAAACTGGGTGAAATAAAAATCCCGTTATGTTTAGGAAACAATTGATTGGTGTGGGTAATTTTAATTGTTGTTGAACATTTTAAAGTTAGTAGCTTTCGTATATAGTCGCAAAAAAATAATTGCAGCGTAGTATAAAAACGTAAGTTTATTTACTTTTTTTTAAAGTTTCGTGATGTCTTACATTGTAATTTATTTAAAAATAGATAAAAAATACAAAATTAAATAAAAGTTACTCATTTTTTCTAATTTTTAATCATTTTATAAAAAGATAGCAAAGGGAGATCGACACTGGACTGTAGCCCAACGTAATTTAGCTGTGGACCTAATAAAACAGGGTAAGACATACCGTGAGGTTGAGGCAGAGACTGGCATTCCCAACTGCACTGTTTCCAGAATAATGGGGAGATACAAAAAGTATGGAACTACAGCTTCCTTGGAAGGACGAGGTAGAAAAAGAAAGACAAATACTTCCATTGACCATAATATCGTAATACAAATCAAAAAGAATCGAAAATGAGAAAAACATAAAGATCACTCCTCAAACAATACCTAACAGGATAAAGGAAGCTGGTTT